GACTAGAGCTGAGAGCCTGAAAGAGGAATAACTGAGGCAGAGGCTGGGTCCCCCAGGGCTGGGCGATCAGGCGCTGACCGCTTCATCCCGCCAACCCCTTTCCCTGGTCCAGCAGGACGCGTAAAATGAACCGGAGAGGTGGCGGGGCAGACAGGCAACTGGAAGAATGAGGGGAATGTCAGACCCGTTTTATTCTAGGTCTTCCCCAAAGGGATCATCACATTCTAGAAACACTCCAAAAGGAAAGGAGAGATTTATTAACGATAAGAGACTTCAGCTCTGTCAAAGGAGATGCTTGGGAAACCAGATTCCTGGGCAACCAGTCTTTCCCCAAAGGAAAATTATCATTTACCTGCCTCTTGGAATGAGAGGCTTTTGGTGTTTTGTTTTTCCTTCAATATTTTAAGTAACGCCAAAGTAAAGCTGACGAGGGGAGAAACGTGAAAGAAAGAACCACGGAGGAGATGAAGCGGACTGTGCGGGCGGTGGGGCGGCGCGATCAGCAGAGGGAGGACGCCTCTCGTGGGCCCTGCGCAGGGCTCTCCTCCTCCTCCCCTTGAGGGGCTCTGGCCTGGCCGGGGCAGGCTTCCAACAGAGCAGACCCGAGGGAAGAGCACTGTTCACCTCCTTTCCTGCCTGAACACGGCGCACTACTACGGGGCAGCTTTCTCCTGAACAAGCTATACCTGCATAGAAGTTCCCCTGACGGTGCGGGAAATGGCCCTTTCTTTTACTCTCTTGGATAATTCTCAAAGTTCTCCAGATTTTTGCCTGCAGCCCCATAGTTCCACACGTTGTCTAGGAAGAAACATTTTGTAGCTGAAAGCAGATGGGATCCCAGTAGTAGGGGGAGAAAGTGTGTATCCCACATGAACAGGGAAAGTCTGAGAGATGAAGACTGGTTGTATCTTGGGTACCTCTGATTGATGGGTGGGGCTTCTCCTTCCTGGGGCTCCTTCATGCTCAGCGTAATAAGTGTGGGGTAAACCCCAGATCCACCATTTACACTACATCAGTTCAGTTCAGTCGCTCAGTTGTGTCCGACTCTTTGCAACCCCATGGACTGCAGCATGCCAGGCTTCCCTGTCCTTCACCAACTCCTGGAACTTGCTCAAACTCATGTCCATCGAGTCGGTGATGCCATCCAACCATCTCTTTACAGTACATGACATTGAGCAAATTACTTAGGTGTGTCAAAAAATAAGTTTTCTATAGCTCTGTGTTTTTCTAAGATTGGCAACCATTAATGGGTAATGAAATCAATTTATAGGTCCAACAAATATGTTTCAAAAGAGTAATAGAACAGAGTATAAGTATTTTCCATGAAGCTTGTTTTAGATGTGTGTGATGTGTATGTGATGGGGGTGCATGTGTATGTATATGTGGGGAGTGGGGCACACACACTCCTGTGTTTACCGGTTGCAATGTTAGATGCATTGCTTGCTGTATGCGGTGATCAAAGAAGTTTGAAAAATACTGATAACTTATTTTCCAACTCCTATTCCTACTCAGAAGCAGGAAAAAAGGTGGAAATTGTACATTCAACACTACTCAGCATTTTTCCATTTCCGGTTTGAAGAGGTTTTATGTCTATTCTCCCCTTCCCTTTTACTTCCTTCTTCTCTCACGCATGTTCCACTCTGCTTCCTTAGGCTGTGAGTCTCCATCCCAGTGCATGGTTTCGATGGAATTAGAGCTTCAGAGAGACAAACTGACCAACAATAAATCCCTAACTTACCAAGATGGGGAAAGACAGCAGAAAATGCTTTTAAAATAACATTCCCCACTACATGTAGAATTAATTCAAGGCTCAGTTCCTTTATCTATTAAGTGTGGTAAAGATCAGATAAGTTTAACATTTAAATGCCTATCACATTTTAGGTACTGGATAAACATGAAGGTGTTCCCTCTTCAGGCACTTATTTGCTGAGAGAGTTTCTCTAAGCCAGCCCTTGTCCTCCGGGAACTTAGGCTGTGATATGGATGCTATGGTACATAGAGACAGCGAAACGAAAACAAATCAATACATCAATGGAGTGGAAGGTATTTATATCATACTCAGGTCAAGTGCATTTTATGGCCCATGGCCAAAGGTCTAAGATACCTCAACTGATGAATCCCCCAGGAAACTAGTTCCAACATGCCTAGGTTTAAAGATAAACAAATACTGAATTACAACCGCATGGACACAGACAACCCTAAGCAAACATGAGAGTGGTGAGATGTCCGGACCTGAGCCCTCTGTCTGCCTGCCCTGCTCCCTCATTCAGAGTCTGGTGACACTCTTCCCACTGAGCATGTGGTTGCCCATATGCTCCTTTCACAACCCAATCTTCAACCACCCTCAGAAGATTCTGATAGCATGTAACATAATTGACACTCTAGCCTATTCTCACTGAAATGTTTCTGTGGAAATATATACACAAACACACTCACACGTATTTTTTGCCTAAAGAAATTTCCAACAGAATCAAGGGACCTGAAGAAACCTTTAATTTAGCCCCCGAGTGTGGCACAGCAGGTAAGGAACAGAAAGGGGAACAGGGCCTACACAGTCTGGCCTGCCCACAGAGCATGCCATCCTCAGCTAAAGACCCTCTGACCTGGCCCCGAAGCAAAGGAAGTAGAGAAAGATGCCTCCACCTTCCAAGAATGGAAGCTTACTCACTTCTTGTTCAGTCGCTAAGTCATGTCTGACTCTGCGACCCCAAAGACGGCAGCATACTCGGCTCCTCTGCTTTCACTGCCTCCTGGAGTTTGCTCCACTGAATCAGTGATGCTATTTAACCACCTCATCCTCTGTTGCCCCCTTCTCCTCCTGCCCTCAACCTTTCCCAGCATCAGGATCTTTTCCAATGAGTCAGCTCTTCTCATCAGGTGGCCAAAGTATTGGAACATCAGCTTCAGCATCAGTCCTTCCAATGAGTATTCAGAGTTGATTTCTTTAGGATTGACTGGATGGATCTCCTTGAAGAGCAATGGACTCTCAACAGGCTTCACCAGCATCAAAGTTCAAAAATATCAATTCTTCAGTGCTCAGCTTTCTTTATGATCCAACTCTTACGTCCATACATGACTACTGGAAAAACCATAGCTTTCACTATATGGACCTTTGTCAGAAAAGTGATGTCTTTGCTTTTTAATATGCTCTTGACTGCAGTCATAAAATTAAAAGATGCTTGCTCCTTGGAAGAAAAGCTATGACCAACCTAGACTGGGTATTAAAAAGCAAAGACACCACTTTACCAATAAAGGTCCATATAGTCAAAGCTATGGTTTTTCTGTAGTCATGTACAGATGTGAGAGTTGGACCATACAGAAGGCTGAGCACTGAAGAATTGATACTTTCAAACTATGGTGATGGAGAAGACTCTTGAGAGTCCCTTGGACAGAAAGGGGATCAAAACAGTCAATCCTAAAGGAAATCAACCCTGAATATTCACTAGAAGGACACAAGCTGAAGCTGAAGCTTCAATACTTTGGCCACCTAATGTGAAGAGCTGGCTTATTGAAAAAGACTCTGATGCTGGGAAAGATTGAGGGCAGGAGAAGAAGGGGACAGCAGAGGATGAGATGGTTGGATGGCATAGTTGACTCAATGGACATGAGTTTGAGCAAACTCTGGGAGATAGTGAAGGACTGCAGCCTGCTGTGCTGAAGTCCATGGGGTCACAAAGAGACACGACTGAACGACTGAACAACAGCTTTGTCACAGCTTTTCTTCCAAGGAACAAGCATCTTTTAATTTCATGGCTGCAGTCACTGTCGGCAGTGATTTTCTACTACTCACCTAATAGAAACTAAAAGGCCTCAAACACCCCCCACCCCAGGTCTGCCCCCAACTTTACTGCTATGATGATCACGATTCTCCAGAGGAAAAACAGAACCAAAGAAGGAGGGTGGGAGGGAGAGAGTGAATTGAGGTTTATTTTAAACAGTTGGTTCACAGGATTATGAAAGCTGGCAAGTCCAAAATCTGTAGGGTGGTTCAGCAAGCTAGAGATCCAGAAAATAGCTGATGCTACAGTTGAAGGCTGTCTGTTGGCAGAAATCCTTCTTATTCAGGGAGGTCAGTCTTTTGTTCCATTTAAGCCTTCAACTAATTGGATGAAGCCCACCCACATTATGGAGGGCGACCTGCTTTACTCAATGTCCAGTAATTTAAATATAAATTTCAGGAGGACTTCCCTGGCAGTTCAGTGATTAAGACTCCACACTTCCACTGCAGGGGGTGTGGGTATGGGTTCCCCCCCTGGTTGGGGAACTAAGATCTCACCTGTTGCACAGCATGGCCAAAAAAAAAAAAAGAATTTCACCCAGCAATTTACACCCTCACAGAAATATCCAGAATAATGTTTGACCCACCCACCTGGTGATCTAGCCAAGTTTACAGGTAAAATTAACCATGACAACTGCGAAGGCCAGAGTGAGCCTTCCGCAACACACCAACTTTAATCCAACTGTTTTTCAACTCAGGCACTCTTTAAAAATTCCCAGATTCAAAATGCTTTATTCTAGCACATTTTAAGTTATCCAAGAGTTTAAAGATTGCTGATGGTTATAATTCCTTCTCCCTATTTGACACAGAAACATTGTAAAGTATTAGAGGGCAAGATGCTTTCATATATACATACAGTTCTCAGATTTTTTGGTTTCAGGATCCTTTTATACTCTTACAAATTAAGAATGTAAAAGAGGTTTATGTAGGTAGTATCTCTAGATACTATGCTTTAAAGAAATATATGCATCATATCAGAAATAAAGATGAGATAGTTAAATATATATTTATGAGTTTCATTCAAAATAATAAGGCGAACAAATGTTAGCATAATATATTTTTAATTAAAAAATAGTTGTTTTTCAACATAAAATAATTGGTGAGAAATGTATCGCTCATTTACATCTCTGCATTTCTCTTTAATGCCTGGCTTAATAGAATACGGTAGGATTCTCATACCTATGTCTGCATTTAACCTGTGCTATGCTGTTTTAATTAAAAGGTATGAAGATAACCTAGCCTCATATGCATATGTAGCTGAAAAAGGGAAGACATGCCCAGGACTCCTTGGACCACACTTTGAGAATCACTTGCTTCAGAGAAGCACCCTTGCTGTGAGTCAGAGGTCCCAGGTCCTGCTCTGCCAGTAACCAGCTGTGCAACCAGAAGCAAGTCACTAAACCATTCTGAACTGAAGCTTCTTTATGTAAACAAGGAAAAGAATAAACGTATTGTCGAACATCGATTATGTGCCAGGCACAATTCATTTAACTGAATCTTCACAACAACTTACCATGTAAGCAGTGGTGTGGTGGTAAATGCTTAACTATGGGGGAGGAATCACTCCAAGGTGCTCACGTGGATGTGACTTACATTGTTTAATGGGACACCGAGCCCTGTTTTCCAATTTAATCTACTGCCTGTATAGACCAAAGTACACCCTGATGACTTCTTTCTCAGGAAGGATGGTGAGGAAGGGGAAGAGATGCAGTGGAAGGGAAGAACCAAAATTAAATTTGAGTAATGATGTAGGGTGTGCCAGAAGTGAAAGGCAGGGGCTCCAGCTAGACATGCCATAAAGGTCAGGGGGTTAGGGTTAGCTTACTCGCCTAGAGGAGCCTTGGCTTGTAGCATTTGCCAATTTTCATGTATAAATATGTCCACTATGGCCAACTTTATGCTACCAACCTGACATTTGAAAAAGGAGTTGCAAAAAGCTGGGCACAATTGATTTTCAACAGCCAGTCCAATGTAAGCCTATGCTTCTTGGAGTAAAAATGAGAAGCTGAGGTTGAAGGGATTAAAGGAATACACTGGGAACATGCAAGCGGCCCTGGTACATGATACAAAGCAAACCTCAGATTATAGTAAGTACAGACTCAGACACATAATAATTTCTTAAAAATACATATGCATATAAATTAACTGTATGTAAATGGTAGAAAAAGGTCCGGACATCTATACAACAGATTATACATACTGATTTATTTGGGGGAAAGAAATGAAACAGGCATGAAGATGATAAAGAATTTTAATTTTTCTACTCTTTATATTTCTGCATTGTTTTAGGGTTTTTGTTTTTTTTTAATATAAGTGAGCCTGCAATTATGTGTTCCTTGTAGAATCTAAAATAAAACATTTTTCAAAGAGACTTAGGGGTATGATTAGATATTTAATTATATAGAGTTAACAAAAATGATTCAAAATTTTCAATAGGGGACTTCAGTGGGGACTGGTAAGCATCAGAGAAAGAGAAAGAAAGTCAAAGAGAGACAGAAAAGGACTATATATTGATGTGGTGCCTCCTCTGTCAGGTGCCTTAGCAATCCTCTTTTCAAATAATTTCTCTCTGGTGGTTAAACTAGAAGTATTGAACATAAAATGTCTTAAATTCTCTGGCTAATTGGAAAGGCCAGTAGTTTTTCTGAGTAGACTAATATTAAAATAAACCTTGAATCCCATATACAAGCCAGAGCTCAGGTCTCAACTTAGCTCAATTGGTTAAACATGGGGTCAACCCAAAGCAAGCTTTAAGTTGTCAACCTTTTAGTCTCCAAGGGGGATGGGGGTGGGTGTGGATGTTGTTTGCATGAATATATGCATGTGTTGGTGAGAGTGCTTTTTGGTAAGTTGAGCTAAGTAAGAAAGAACAGAAAGGGACCCAGCCAAGATCTTTTTCCCACATGTTCCACAAATTAATAATTATCTTAACCTTATCTTTTAAGGATAAGAGTCATCAACATCATAACAAATTAATTTAGTTAGGCAAACGTCTTCTTTTTTTCTTTATAACAAAAACTTAAGGAGTCAAAAAATAAGAGAAAAGGAAAGAAGTTTTTTGTTGTATGGGGCACTGAATTTGGGTAGAGAGAAAGGCCCCCACAGTGGTTTGGTGGAAAAGGCAGCCTTGATGTGAATTTGGGCTTTGTCATTTGCTAGTATTGCTTCCTAGGGCAAATTTCTTAACTTCTTCAATGCCAAATTTTGTCTACCATAAAATAGAGATTGTATAAAAAGCAAGCTCATTGTAAGACATCTATATGTGTGTGCGTATACACATATGTATATATGAACATGGGACTTGGCATAGAGCCTGGTACATAGAGACTATGCAATAAATAGGAGTTACAATTTGGACAGAAAGAAGGGATAGTCAAAGTCTTGAGGGAAACTCTCTGAATTGATACATTTAAATAAGTTTCAACTCTATAAAAAACAAACATTTTTATTTAAGCACCTACTGATTAGACTGTCATTCAGACATCAAAAGTTGGAACCAGCCACTTTCTGAAAATGGGGTACTTGGACATACCAGAAGCTGAAAGGTACAGACAGGGTTGTAGAAAGAAGCTGAAGGAAAACACTATTCTGGGGTGACAGACGAAACGACAACACCTGTTTCTCAACTGTATGCCTAGGGACAAGAGGATACAGGAGAGTGTGGGTGATGGCTTACTACCATTCTCCTTTAACTCAGAAAACAAATCCAGTGGGCAGCCTAGGAGGGTTGGTCCCCAAAGCCATCTTTCTGGAACAAGAACATGGTGTTAATGCCTACTGTGCTTCACCCATAAATAGCAGTGATGGAACCGAAAACAACTTAGATGAGGAAAGCCAGTTCCCTTCAGGAACTCTCAAATCAAAAAGAGGACATTTATGCTGAGAAGAATGGAAGATATGAAAGGCAGAGGCCAACAGACATCAGGGAGAGAGATTAGCTCCTGTCATCAGTCACTGCTGACGCTGGGCATTTCTGAGATTGTTGATGGTTAAGGAAAGAACCTTAGAGGAGAAAATGAATCTTTTAGAAGATGTGAGGTTGCTTAATCTGGAAGACAGAGGAGAGGTTTGAAGAAGAAGACTGGAGTGATGCGAGAGAAAGATTACTCAGAGAGAATTTTGAACTGACTGAATCAGAGAGGAAAGAAAATGAGTTTGCAATAGTTTGAAGCACCATGACCCTGGGGAAGGTAGCGTGGTGATGGCGATGACAATGATTTCAGAGAGTATGAGTATAATGTGAAACTACCCTTAGAGCTACAAAATTACTTTCATATTCATCTTTTCATTTTTTCCCCCATAATGCCCTGGGGGGGGTACATAGAGAAGTACAAGTCAGAATTCATCCAAAAAGCTGTTGAGATCAGAATTTGGGGAGAAGGGATGTAAAAGTACCAAGTTTTTACATAGAGGTTTCTCCTCTTTGTGAAAGTAGAGCATTCCCAAGAAACCTTATGAGGCTGGAATGATGTGAAGCCAAGAAGCAATTACCTTTTTAAATAAAAGTGAAAATTCTCTTTTGGTTCATGAAAACAGGTACTAAAATAGGTCTTTCATAAAAAAGAAGTGGTGCAAATCAAACTTTCAAAAGAAAAACAGGGGATGATTGTCTTTCAGATTCATCACAACTTTAAATGTGCTCTTCAGTCTGAGGAACTGAAGGTTTTGCTGTTAAATTTATTTATTTACTTTAATTTTTGGCTGCACAGCATATGGGATCTTAGTTTCCCAGCCGGGGATTGAACCTGCACCCTTTGCATTGTAAGTGTGGTCTTAACCACTGGACTCCCAGGGAAGTTCCAAAAGATTCTGCTCTCAAAAAGAAGAGTTAACTATATGAATTAGTATCATAAGTGTGTCCCTTAACATCACGGGGACAGCGACATTCCAGGCATCAATGGTGAAAATTCAACCCACTCAACAATGTTTATCAAACTAGGTAAACTATCTCTGTACACTGGCCATGTTCCTCTTCTACTAAACATTATTGTAAAATACTTGAAAATCTAAATGAAAATAGTTGCTGCAAAAGCAGACTAAAGGATTAAAATAAAGATGGCAAGGACAACTGCTAGCAAAAGCACGGTAGAGCCAGCAATAATACATTTAACTCCACATGAATTCTCTGAAGGAATTTAACACAATTTCTCCCATTCTAACTCAAAAATTAATTTCTGTATATTGTCCTTGAGATTTGGATTGGGAATGAAAAGGAGAAAACCGTTGAAAGTGTGAAGATTTTATGTGAATTAATCAACCAAGGGCTCAGACCCTGGGGAGTGAAGATTAAACTTTATAGTTTAGAAACCCAAGGACAATACTCTTCTCATGAGTGTACCTCACATCAAAAAAAAAAATCTCTACTGATATCTATGTCTCATTTACAACATTCAAGTGAAGAGATAATTTTTATGACATCCCAATGAGAAGATGCAAAGAGGTTAAACATTTCATAGAAAAGTCAAGGGAGTGTCAAAATTAGAACAAAATGTCCCCGACCCTGGCACTGTCTGCATTCCAGATGAAAAGATAATTTTGTCCCTCTGTCCATTCGCATTAAAGCCTAAGCAGACAAGACAGTTCAGCCTCAAAGAATTAGAGTAAGAAAGTTGTCCATAGGGTACTGGTATTCAGAAAGAAGCTGCTATATTATTTCAGGAGTAATAGTGGTTTCCCACCCATTGACCACCTCTGTCCACTGCTGACAGCCTGTTAAAACCGTAAATTACTGCTTGAAAGAATTCAGTCTGCAAGATAAGATACAGATACAAGGTTTGTATATAGGCTCCTCTGGGCTGGTTTTCCCCAGGACTATTCAGAAGTACTCTATGGGACTAAGTATGGGTGAGCCTACATGTCTCACTGTGTGGTGAAGAACTTACTTTTTCAAAAGCTGCCGATTCCAGATATCATAGACTATTTAGCCTTTTCTAGAAAAAAAATCTGAAAAGAAATACGTGAGCAAATGAACCTATAGGATCTGCCAGCTTTCATCTCCCTCAAGCACCAGTAAACTTACAAGAGTCCAGAATACCATATGCTAAAACGAGGAGTTAGGTTCTATATCCCACAGAGTGAGCAACCTTTTCATTTCTGTCATATGCAATCAAGTTGGCGGACTTGACGTAAAAGGTATGCCAGGGTAATTCATTCTGTGCTAACTTTAAGGCCCTTGAGAACATGGTGAAGTTTTTTTTTTTCTTCTGCACACTTCTCTAAGATTCCCATACAGCTTGATCTGTAGTATATATTCTTTCTATGTATTCAATCAACAATTATTAGACATCTCAATGGTTAACCAGTTAGGAAAAAAAAAGTATAAGATGTCGTCTTTACTGAAGACTTCAGAATGGAACTGAGCTTACAAGAAATAGCTAAAAACATGTGCAAAGCATAATGTTATACAAGGAAACTAGGCATCTAAGGATTAAGAAAGGGTCAGCATGACTTTAGAAATGGAAAC